AGTGAGTTACCATTACCACTTACCACATGCCTAATTTACTTAAATGTATAGGCAACCATGACATGGTATGTAGTGCATGTTGGTCACATGCCTAGGATTTATCGAACCTGGAAAGATTACTATGCTCAAGTCAATCGCAACACTAGTAATTTGCACAAAAAATACAACACAGAAGCTGAAGCTTTGAGGGCCTACTATAGTCATCCGACCTACCTTGCAAACCATGGGCAACAAGCCTACTATGGTCCAATAAATGCAAACCATGGTCATCCGCTGGCACTAGAGATCGAAGAGAAGCCACCCGTCGGAGATGTGAAGATTAGGAGAATTGCTCCTTGGTCTTTGAAATATGTCATGCTTTTATTTATGGATATGGTCATCGCTTTTCTTATTTGAAAGTTGATGTAGGCTTAGTTTTGTAGAACAGTAGGTGGACTTTGTTGTATGTGGTCAATCAAACAATGAATTTATTCTAGGTGAACATATGCTATTATTTGACTTTGTTGTATGTGGTCTTATTATTAGACTTTGCATTAAACATATTATATATATATGAACATATGCTATTAGTAGTTGTCCGCGGCCAAAACTAACCATGATCGTGTCACAGCCATGACTCATCGTCGCCTATTACCCCGTCGCTGAAGAACAAATAGGCAACAAGAAGCAGCTGATATCGCTGGGACGGGAGAGCCGCATGATCCGACAAATGGTGACGGTGTCAATCAGGTCGGTGAGAACAAGCAGCCATGGACCCCGTCCGGCCTACTCGATCTGGGTCAAAATGACCAAGATGGCTAGGTAACTTTGGTATCATGTGACTATGTAGCCACACACGCTAATCAATTGATTGGGCCATAGCTTACTTGGTGTCTCTACTAGGAGCCTCCGCCGGCTGAGGAGCCAGAGGGTTCGGGTAGTAGGAAGGCCAGATCTAAACGAGGCGTGTCAAAGATTCCTATTGGTAGGAATGCATACTGGCACATTACTGAGTTCGATGAATTCAGGGATCCACTCTCACCGCCTATAGCTTTGACCAAATACAAGACTATCCTCGGATTACTTGTTAGGGACTTCATCCCGATTAAGTACAGGAAGTGGATTGAAAAAGATGATGACCGGTGGAGGGTTCCCGAAAGCAAGAAGGATTACATATGGGATGTCAAGATCCTAGAGTATTTCACTTTCCCAGCCGAGTATGATAGGGAGTTAGTCAAGAAAAAAGCAAAAGAAATCATGGGGACATGCTTCAAGAATTTCAAGGGGACATTGTACAAGAATTTTGTCCTCCAAAATAAAGAGTCAGATTTTGATGGTGGACAGTTTAGCAAGCAGAAGGACTTCTGGCAGGATTTCAAGGAATACAGGTTATCCGAGGAGTACTTAGAACTGAGCAGGAAGAATAAGGAGAATTCATAGAAAACGACGAATCCTCATCATCTCGGCTCTCGTGGCTACGCCAAAAAGATGCCATAATTTGAAGCAGAACTTCAAAAGATGGATCGCCTTGCTGAGGAAGGTATTCAGGCTGAGACCGCCGATTGGGAGCCCAGATCGGTATTATACTGTATGGGGAGAAATGTACGGCACATCGAGGATGGGAGGTTTAGCTCCTTAAATCAATCCATGAGCGAACTCATCCAGAGGATCTCCTAGGTAACTGAGGAGGTGAGGCAAGGGACTCGCACTTCTAATAGGGAGAAAGATGTGCTCACCCAAGCACTCAGAACCAAGGAGCACCCTAGTCGCACTAGAGGAACCGGTGTTGTTCCTTGGAAGCTAGCATTCCCCCAAGAATCTAACACTTACCGGAGCCGCTCGAGGGGTAGAGCGAAACATGAGGCAGAGTATTTGAGGAGACTAAAAGAGATGGAAGACAGAATGAAAGCTTGGATTGAGACGGTCGTTGAAGCGCGAGTCGAGCAAATTTTGCTATCCAAGGGGTCAGTAGTACCACAAAACCCTACTCCTATTGCCTTTAGCCCACAGTTTAGGGGTCGCAACAGCTGCGGATCGACCCCGCTTGACGAAGAAGAGGCGAATGTGCCTCATCTGGTGGATGACATCACTGAACCCATCAATGTTAGGTTGTACATCAGTCAGGAATGGACAAAGGACAAGGTGGTGCTCGGCTAGGCCTGGCCTGCGGGAGACTGGAAAATTAATGGCCGCCTAATTCCACTAGGGTACGCTAGTGTTACCATTGACAGAATACTTGATAAGAAGTATAACAAGATACCCATTGAGTACCCCGTAGCGGAAGACATGACAAAACTTGGTCAAAACAAGGGCTCTCAAGTGGCCTGGCGCAAGCGCTTCATTAAGCTTGACCATCAATTGTCCTCTGATGATGAGGACGACTACGAGTCTTTGCCCACCCGTGATGATCACTCACCATCTCCCAATAGAGATCACTCCCCTCCTCATCCGAAGCCATCACCCCTGAGATGACAGAGGTCTCCTTCTATTCCTCCTCGTCCGACACCATCTTCATCAGCCTCGAGAAAAGAGACTCCTCCTCCTCCTCCATCTTCATCAGCGCCAGGAAAACAGAATTCTCATCGTCATCCTCCTCCTCTACCTCAGCCCAAAACAAGATCAAGGACATCCTCGCAATCGCAGAAAAGGTCCTTGGATTTGGTCGCTAATGCTCCCAAAGTGGACCAACAGAAAAGAAAAAGGTCGTTCAGTGGCAGCGTTACCACCTTGATGAAAGAAAAAATTACAGCACACATCTCGAAGGAAGATTGTGTTAGTTTCTTCAATCTCTGTGCCTCACTGCCTTCGTTTTTGTTGAAGTCCGAATTCGAAAGGCAAACACAGAATAAATACGCTACAACAAGAGATGAAGAAATACACAATAAAGATTTAAGGAACATACAGAAGTACGTCGAAGACAACCCAGGATTAACCATGGAAGAGGCCGCGACCATCTATTATGATGTACAAGGGACGGCAACACCGGCAATGAAGTATGAAAGGGGCAATCTTTTGGTTCCCGATCATGAGTATAAAAATCTGACAACATATATGCGTCAGTTACATGAATATTACATGGCTCAAGCAACAGAGATAGACGACTTTGGTTTTGAGGTTATTATCCATTTGCCACATGTTTTCCATTATTTTGAAGAAGAGAAGTTCGATGTCGAGTGGGAGTGCTTGTTCCAGCTATACCAGAAACGCTCTCTCAATGTTCAAATGTTGACGCTGTGGACTATGTAAGTACCTACACGCACGATTTTATAATTAACTACTCTCTCGAGACATAAATTGTTAACTTTTGAGCACTTTCCATATAGGTGTATAGCAAAATTTTGCATTCTAAAAAGCAAATGGGATTACATAGATTTCTTGGACCCTATGCGAGTCAATGAGAGGACATGTCTAGGCCTCTATGGATATGATGTGGAAGACCTGAAATAGAGATTGATTGCTGTTTTCGACGAATTCACGATGAAAAAGAAAACCTACATACTTCTAGCCTACAACTGCGAGTATGTGTTCTCGACTTTTAATTTTATGCTTCTTTTTTCGTTAAGATTATTCAATAATTAGGATTTTGTTATTACAGCAACCATTTCGTCTTCATTTGTGTTAATCTTGCCAAAATCTGCTCGAGGTGTGGGACTCGAATAAAAACCCATTTCATCATCTGGATGCACCGGTGGCAATGCTGAATTAGTAAGCGATCCTAATAACATATTATTTTCTAATCACACATACCGCTTTCTAATGTTTCTCCTTTTAATGTTGCTCAGTGTCCGAAGAAGACATATCGGTGGGACGCCGATCCCATTCAAGGTTGCCGAAATGGAGGGGAAGTACCTATCACAGCCGGCGGGAAATAATGAATGCGGGTTTTATGTAACGTGGGCAATGCTTCGCTATATCGGCGGGAAATCGGAAGAAGACGATAAGTTAGTGTGTATAATCCCCATTTCATTTATGTCTGTTAATAATTCAACAAAATGATTTACTGTTCCTCTTTGGATGTCATCTTTTTTTAACGACAGCGTAAGAAATATAACCACGAAAGGCTGTTAAACATAGAGATCATCACACTGCAATCGGAGCTGACAAAATTCATCTTAGCCGAGGTATTGGAAAAAGATAGAGTATTTTCCATTGCACAATCCGTGAAGTACAAGGACCAGTATGGCCCAAAGTGGCTCGCCAGATTATTGTAAGAAGTCCGAGAAGCATGTGTGAAGTCCCAGAATATTTCTTTTTTATTTTGAGGGATCGAGATTTGGATAAGAACATTTGAATTGTAATCGTAACATTTGTAATGTGTCATCTACGTAGCGTATATAAAGCGAAACCCGATTCCACGAAAAAATATAAATTAAAATAAATTATAAAACAATAAAATACAAACGGGCATCACCGCCTGTTAGCAACAAACCAGCAGTGTTGTCGTAACCATCGCTGCCAGTTAGAAACAAACCGACAGTGTTGGCTTGCTCAACACTGCCGGCTTGAACCATGAATCGACACTGATAGTTACGACTACACTGCCGGTTTGATCCATGAACCGACACTGATATTTACTACAACACTGTCGGTTTGATCCATGAACCGACAGTGTAGGCTTGCTCAACACTGCTGGCTTGAGCCAAGAACCGACACTCTTGAAGCAACTGTCATTGTCGGTTGGCACTATAAACCGGCAATGTTGTTCAACTGGACACTGCCGGATGGAGACAGGAACCGACACTGTTTCCTGTAGATTAATGTCGGTTTTTAAGGACTGACAGTGATGTCAACCCTCATCACTGTCGGTACGCCGCTATCGATTCAAAATCCGACAGTGAAGTAGGTTTTTCAACCGGCAGTGATGTCCAGATCTAGGGTCGCGTGCACTCCTAGTTGAAAAGATATTTTGACTAGCTCAGTGCGTGCGTAGATGTATAAATAGACGTGTGGCCGGGAGGATGGAGCGAGCAACGAGCATGACATATATGATCAACAACCAGCTGGTAGCCGGCCGGAATCCGATGGCATCCCAGCTGGTGGTAGCAGTAGGGTTGGCCTTGTGCCTCATCATCATCTCTATGTACGCCTTCCAGCTGATCGCAGACGCTCGCCGCCGTCTGCCCCCTGGCCCCTTTCCACTGCCGGTCGTCGGCAACCTCCTGGCCGTTGGACGGGGCAACCCCCAGCGTTCCCTGGCTCGCCTCGCCGAGCGCTACGGCCCGCTCATGTCGCTACGTCTTGGCGTGGTGCCCGCGGTGGTGGTCTCCTCGGCGGACGCCGCGCGCGAGATCCTCCAGAAGCACAACGCGGAACTGGCGGATCGCCCCGTCCTGGACGCCTGGCACGCCCACGGTCACCGCGCCAACTCCGTCATCTCGCTCCCGCCGCACGCCAGGTGGCGCGCGCTTCGGAAGCTCTGCGCGACGGAGCTGTTCGCGCCGATCCGGCTGAAGGCGCTGCAGCCGCTGCGGCAGCACAAGGTGGAGGAGCTGGTGTGCTACGTCTCGGAGCGGGCGGCGCTCGGAGAGCCCGTCGCCGTCCGCGAGCCGCTGTTCACCGCGTCCATGAACATTGTGTCGCGCACCATGTTCTCCGTTGACTTCGACTCAGCTGGGCTCGGCGATATAGTAAAGGAGGCCACGGTTTTGGCCGCGACGCCGAACGTGTCCGACTTCTACCCGGCGATCGCGGCTGCTGACCTGCAGGGTGTGCGGCGCAGGATGGAGCCGCTCGTCGCGGATTTCTATCAACTGTTAGACGAGGTGTTTGCGCAGCGGCTGCTGGAGCGGGAGGCTGGCGAGCCACCCAAGAACGATATGCTAGACGCGGTGCTTGATAAGGAACATGAATGGCAGCAGAAGGAGGAGTCTATCATCAATCGTTCAACAATCAAAGGACTGTTCACGGTACACACGCACAGCATATCCTTTTATATATGCAGTATATAAAAACAAATGTTGATATCTTTTTTGCTATATATATAAACTTGATGAAACTTAAAAAGGTTTGACTTATCCGAAACCTAGAATTTTTTTTTTGACAGAGAGAGTACTAAAAAATAGATGGCATAGACAACACATGCTACATCTATTTTTTTTATAAGACGTAGGTTGACGAACGGTCTTCCAAATTATACTTTGGTCGTTTATATATTTATTTGATATTATATTATTTATTTCTATAAACTAATGATAGTTAGTACATTTGATCATAAGTTTAACCGTACAAAGTTTGATTTGTATTATAATAGTTTAAAATTATTAGCTAAAGTATTGATTAAAGATTTTAAAGTTTATATATAAATCTTGATATGCGTGTGCACCTTATAAAGAATATGGAGAGAGTATATGACACGTAGGCAGATCCAAAACTTATTGGAGTGATTCAAACTCGAGGGAACTACAGCAAGTATAGAGAGCAAGAGCTTCATCTGCAATTAGCCAATTATAGTAGTATACAATAACTTGGAGAGCTGGACAACATGCATGAGCAAGTTCGCGGATCGGTAAGGGCAGTCCCAACCCAAATTATGAGATAGTCTATATACATGCCAAATCATGTAAATGCTACACATAGAAACTACGTAAATTCTCAAGGAATAGTTTTTTTTTTTTAAATCAAATTTTGTACAGTCACATGTCCTCCATTATCTACCTATCACATCTCTTTGTATCTTGGATCCCGTGTAAACATGATTTCTTATCTAAGAAAACATTTTTGTCCTCTTTATTCTCAATGCCACATCATTATTATTTGCTTAGTTGACGCTGGTTAATGAATAGAAAACCATCTAGTTAATTTCTAGGCTAGAGGGTCGTACGGCTTTACTTTTTGTTAATACCCTTTACTTTCTCAAAATAAGACGTTACATGAATTTTTTTCGCAACATATTGTTCGGAGCATGCAAATTATCATCAACATTACTAAACTATTTTTAACTGTCAGTATAGAAAACTCATATATAGAAAAAAGATGTATTAAATAATAAATATATAATTTATTCTCAAATATAGTACGTATTATTCGCGTTGTAATTAGCAAAAGGCTTTATGAGGCAGTAATATTCAAAAAGCATTGTTTTGTCATTGTTAATCGACCATTATTCAGTTGTCAATTATTATTTGGGTAGCTAGGCACAATAATGTGTGACCCTAATCAATGCATCACAGGACATGCTTGTTGCGGGATCAGATACAAGCTCAACTACGGTTGAGTGGGCAATGGCCTCCCTACTAGAGAACCCCGAAGTGATGGAGAAGGTGAAGAGGGAGCTCACGAGAGTTGTTGGCACAAGAGCACAAGTCCAGGAGTCTGATATCGCCCAACTCCCATACCTTCAAGCTGTTGTGAAAGAGGTGCTTCGCCTCTACCCTGTGGGGCCGTTGACGTATTACCGGGCAGAGGCCACGGTAGGAGTCCAAGGATACACCATTCCTCAAGGAGCCACCATAATACTCAACATATGGGCAGTTCACAGGAACGCCGACGTATGGCCTGATCCACATAAATTCGTGCCTGAGAGGTTCATGGGCGACGACGGAAACAACATCACTGCTGATTTCTCCGGCAAGGACTGTAAGCTGATCCCGTTTGGTGGCGGGCGCCGCATATGCCTCGGCATGCCGCTAGCGTATAGAACGGTCCATTTGATCCTCGCGTCGCTGCTGCACCACTTCGATTGGACGCTTCCTGAAGAGGCCAGGCAAAATGGTATCGATATGACAGAGAAGTTTGGAATTGTGATGTCTATGGCTACTCCACTAAAAGCCATCGCCAAGAAGCGTATGCTAGATGCATGATGCAACAGGCTGGATCCACCAGGACTGTGGTACTTTGCATTGAGACAACTACTTTGTCTCTCATAAATGGGGTTGCTATATGTTCATGTTGTAATAAAGCTATGAAACAAATGATGCAAAAATGAGACTTGCTTGCTATAATTCATTAAGACACCAAATTTGTCTCTCATAAATGGGGTTGCTATATGTTCATGTTGTAATAAAGTTAAGGAATAAATGACACAAAAACAGGACTTGCTAAATTCAGACGCATGAATTTTAGTTTTCTTTCAGGCAACAGTTATTGCTATATTTTATATTAAAATTCTAATTTAGTTTGTTATAATTTTTTAGGCACAATCTGCAATTTACGGTTCTGAGAATACAAAAAACTAGTTAGACAAAACCATAAACCTAGCAAAATCGTATTTGTATTGGCATAAAGACAATTAACAATTTACAGAGTTATTTCTATAGTTAGACAAGGACAAAAAATTGATATGTTATGACACAAAGACAATTAACAAATTACAAAAATAATAATTTACTTATACTAGTTGGTGGTATAAAAGTATCGCCTGAAATCATCTTAAATTCAGGCACGTGGAATATAGGAGAGTACATAAAAATGCAAGTAATTAAAACTACGACAATGTAGTGATGCTAGCTAGATGGACCACCAGTACATTCGCCATTGGGTGTTTATGGCACAACTCTTCATGTGGAAAGAGCCCACACACGCATAGCGTCTCTCTTCCTCTTTCGCCATCGTCGCTTCATGTAAAAGGGAGATAAGGATTAAAAGCTGGCCCTTACTCTTCTAAGCTTCCAAGCGCAGGCGTTCACCAACGCTCGGTATACAGTTGTGCCACTCTTGCCTCTCCATGTGCAACGTAAGGGTGTACATTGCACCCTCACGGGCAATGTACAATGCAACACATGAGTGTTGATGCTTTCAATACCATTCATGACACCCCATGCCCAGAATATGGATTTGTTCCAAATCGGTTTTGATCTATTTTCAACGTGGGAAATTTAGAGATTGTGTTATGGATCCCTCTATAAACGAGAGGATCATGACCGATTGAGAAATCATAGCAAACATGGGCACCTGCCCGGGCTCCCTTGCAAAAGCGGCACTGCACAATAGAGGTTGCAGACACCGAACATACTAGCAGCTTTTGTGGTCTGTCTTGAGAAGAACGTGTAATAGACGCCGTTGACCTACTTGGATGCCCATAGTGGTTCCAAAATGCAGTAGCAGTGGAGTAGCAGAAAAGCATAATGAATGGAGGCTCATTAATTAGTTGAAAGCTGTTGCTTAAACTATATGTCTGCAATGAAATATTTTGCAATGACTATATGGGTCAAATACACAAGCAATGAAGTAATAATAAACCGGTCTATGGCTGCACGTGAGGTAAGATATTTGGTGCTAGTCTTCGATAATGGCAGCAGGACTAATGGCTATACTATGCTCCAGCACCTGTGTGTTTGTTATGTTTGCGTGCTATTTCTCTACTCAAGGAGAAAATTATTGAGATAGTCTCAACCTAGACACTACGAGTATATTTGTCAAGTCGTATAGACATTGCACAAAGAAATTATACTCTCAAGAGTTTCTTTAAAATAGTTTTTTATCTAATAACTTGTCTTTAAATTAGCTTCCATGTAGGTTTGCAACCCCATCCGAATTAAAACCCTACCCTCTTTAGGGTCCGTCTAGGCTTTGTTCAATCTCTGGATCCACCACCGTGAAGAATCCAATTGTCAAAAACACATCTACTACACTGTCCTAACTTTCTCTCTACCTTGTTGTTCTTCACGTTTGAAAGCCCTAATTTGGTTTTGGATAATTGATGAAACCCACTGGACTAATCCTTGTATCTAAGTGTGTAATTAGAAAGGATGGTCCAAGACCAAGTGATAGAGCAAGATGAAGTCTATGATGATGTTGGTGGACATGTGATGGTGATCAAGCTCTAAACTTGGAAAATAAGAAAGAGATAAACAAAATGGGCTCAAGGCAAACATATATTTGATAGGGCCATTTTGTTTTGTCACTCAAGACACCAAGTGGGTGTGAGTGGGTTTATGATAGATAGCCGTACTATTAAGAGGGGTGATCTCGACGCAAATACGGTTGTCTAAGCGCCACTAGGTGAATTAACACTTGCATTTGCATCAAGACCTAGTGAGTGCTAACATCCCTAGGAAAACTTATTTGTAAAATGCTAACTCACGTGCACAAGTGATGAAACTTGGTGGAGTTAACATATTTGCACAAGGGATGAAGTTGGAGAAGACAAGAAGGTCGCTAGGTGTGACCGAACGCTGGCTCCGGGGTGACCGGACGCATTCGGTCAATGACCCGAGGCGTGGGCAGCAGGCTGGCTACGACCGGACTCTGGCTCAGCCAGGTGACCGGACACGCCAGTAGCACTGTTCACCGGTCGGCACGCGCAACGCAGAGTAGACCAGACGTTGTGCTTGCAAGCGGACGCTGAGCACAGGTGTCGGTGTTTCGGATCACCGGCTAGTAAATTTGTATCTGCGCGTCTGGCCCGGATGGTGTGCTCGGAGGACACAAGGATTTATACTGGTTCGGGCGGAATATCCCTACGTCTAGTCTACTGCTGCTCGTGTTACCGGCACTAGTTTATAGTAGTGGTTACAAACAGGAGAGAGAGGGAGCGGATGCCAGGTCTCTGGTGGAAGGATTGGAGAGTGTTGAGAGTTTGTTCAGCTGTGTGCTCATTGCCTGTGTGCTCATTGCCCTTCTTAGGGCGTCCTGCTTCCCCTTTTATAGGTGAAGGGGAAGACGTAGGTTACAGAGAGAAAGAAGGAGAAAAGCGAGGGAGAAGAAGGCCTTTAGGGCCGCCGGGTCCTTCTCCTTTATGCGGGTCCCTCCGATGCTGTAGATGGGGACGGGGATGGTTCCACCACGTTGGGCTCCTATTCACCACTGGTGTCATGCCTCGACGTCATCAGCTGGTCGTGGCGTCCCATCCGTCTCGACGGACGGCGTGGTGAACTGACGTGCCTGTCAGCAACCGTACGGTGAGTAGGCAGCACAATGACCGCACACCCATCACTGTTGGCGATGTGAATCCCCGAGCGTGGCCTGACGTGGCCATGGTCCACATCGAGATGTGTCTGCTTGAAGGGTCGAAATGGCGGACTAGAGGGGGGGTGAATAGTCTTTTCTAAAATTAATCGCGTCGGCTAACCGATATAAATGCGGAATTAAAACAATCGGTCTAGCCAAGACTACACCCCTCTATATATGTTCACTAGCACCTTGTAAAGATACTAATAAAGCAACTAAGGTGCCGGGCTAGCTAGAGCTCTCCTAAACAATTCTAGGAGCAAGGTCACACAAACCTATGCCAATAGTACTTTAAGTAACAAGGGAGCTCCTACACATGCTAGTAAGCAAAAGCACAAAGCTAACTAAGCTCACTAGCAATGCTCAATAACAAGGCAACCAATGCCTAATTAGAGAGCGCAAATACTTAGCTACACAAACTAAGCAATGTGACTAACAAGGTTACTAAAACCAAATTAGCCACGCAAGGGAGCTACTTCTATGCTACACAAGCAAGAAGGTAATTAGCTAGCTACACAAGCTATCTAATTACAAGAGCAACTATACAAGCTTAAGATATATATATAAGTAATTGCAAGCTTGTGTAATGGGGATGCAAACCAACGGGAAGAACAAGGTTGACACGATGATTTTTCTCCCGAGGTTCACGTGTTTGCCAACACGCTAGTCCCCGTTGTGTCGACCGCTCACTTGGTGGTTCGGCGGCTAATTAGCATCACCCGCTAAGCCCGCATGCGTCGGGCACCGCAAGAACCTACCCCTTGAGTGAGGGTAGCTCAATGACACGCTTTAATAAAGTTGCTCTTCGCGACTCCCGCGGGGCGAGCACAAGTACCCCTCACAAGCACTTCTCCGGAGCGCCGCACAAGCTTCTTGCGGGCTTCGACGGAGACCACCACCAAGCCATCTAGGAGGTGGCAACCTCCAAGAGTAACAAGCACCACCGGCTTGCAACACGACCACCTAGTACCACTCGATGCAACCTCACGATGCAATCGCACTAGAATCGCTCACTCACACAATCGAATGATCACTATCAAGTATATGTGTGATGGAGGGCTCCCAAGCACTCACAAGCATGGACACTAAGTCCCTTGAGGTGCTCAGCACTAGCCATGGCCGAGGGCCACTTCTATTTATAGCCCCAAGGACTAAACTAGCCGTTACCCCTTCACTAAGCAACGGTCGGGCCGACCGGACGCTCCGGTCGTGTTGACCGGACGCTGGACCTCAGCGTCTGGTCGCCCACAGACGGCCATGTGTCCCGGTTCCAACGGTCACTTGACTTGACCGGACGCAAGCAGCTATCAATCGACCGGACGCTGCTGCCCCGTCCGTCCGGTCGTTTCAAAGAAAGTACCGACCTCGGCCGGACGCGTCCGGTCACACTTGATCGGACACGGCCCACCGTCCGGTCACACTCCAGCTTTCTGCTATCATCAGACGTCGGCTGACCGGACGTGAGCTCTTTGCCCGGCGTCGGTGCGTTCAGATCAGCGTCGGTCGGTTGACCGACGCCAAAGATCTTCGCGACTAACTCGTTTTCACTTCTAACTTCATCACCCTTGCTCCAATGTGCTAACCACAAGAACTTGCATCCGCGCGCAATAGAAAATAGGCATTCTATTTTCCCGAAAGCGCCGAATCCCGCCAGAAGTTTCTAAGGAGGGGAGAGGGACCCAAACCCATCTCACCCCTGCAAACACCACCTCCTTTGTAAATGTGCCAACACCACCAAGTGTACACCACCATGTGTATGTGTGTTAGCATTTTCACAATCATTTCCCAAAGGATGTTAGCCACTCAACTTGCCACGCCACTCGATCCTAGCGACAATGCAAAGTTAGATCACTCGAGTGGCACTAGATGACCGATATGCAAACAAGTTTGCCCCTCTTGATAGTACGGCCAT